ATGCATCCATTCAGTCCGATTCTGCCCATTCTTAAAATGTCTCCAGCGTGGCTGGGCGCGGTGGCTAACGCCTATAATCCCAGAGCTTTGGGAGGCCGAGGTGGGTGGATCACGAGGTCAAGAGATGGAGACCCTCCTGATCAACAAGATGAAACTCCGTCTCTACTAAAAATACAAAAAATTAGCTGGGCATGGTGGTGCGCGCCTGTAATCCCAGCTACTCAGGAGGCTGAGGCAGGAGAATTGCCTGAACCCAGGAGGCGGATGTTGCGGTGAGCCGAGATCACAACTTTGCAGTCCAGCCCGGGTAACAAGAGCGAAACTCTGTCTCAAACAAGCAAACAAAAAAAACAGAGAGAGAGAGAGAGAGAGAGAGAGAGAGAGAGAGGTTTCACTTTGTCACCCAGGTTGGAGTGCAGTTGCACAATCATAGCTCACTACAGCCTAGGCCTTCTGGGCTCAAGCAGTCCTCCTCAGCCTCTTGAGTAGCTGGGGTTACAGGTACACACCCTGAGGTCTGGCTAATTTTGTCTATTTTTGGTAGAGATGGGGTCTCACTACGTTGATCAGGCAGGTCTCCTGGGCTGGAGCGACCCTTTCAAAGTGTTGGGATTACAGGTGTGAGACACCGTGCCCTACTGAGCGTGCTATCATTACTTAACAAATGAATATTTCTGCAATGTCTACTGTAGATCAGGCACTATTTATATATTTATTTAATTTATTTCATTATTGTTATTATTATTTTGAGATGGAGTCTCGCTCTATTGCCAGGCTGGAGTGCAGTGGCATGATCTTGGCTCTCTGCAACCTCCGCCTCCGGGGTTCAAGCGATTCTCTTGCCTTAGCCTCCCGAGTACCTGGGACTACAGGCATGAGCCATCATGCCCAGCTAATTTTTGTATTTTTAGTAGAGACGGGGTTTCACCATGTTGACCAGGATGGTCTCAGTCTCTTGACATTGTGATCTGCCCTCCTCAGCCTCCCAAAGTGCTGGGATTACAGGCATGAGCTACTTACTGTGCCTGGCCTATTTATTTATTTTTTGAGATGGAGTTTCGCTTTTGTTGCACAGGCTGGAGTGCAATGGCGTGATCTCTGCTCACTGCAACTTCTGCCTCCCGGGTTTAAGTGATTCTCCTGCCTCAGCCTCCCAAGTAGCTGGGATTACAGGCATGCATCACCACGCCCAGCTAATTTTGTATTTTTAGTAGAGATGGGGTTTCTCCATGTTGGTCAGGCTGGTCTCAAACTCCCAACCTCAGGAGGTCCACCTACGTTGGCCTCCCAAAGTACTGGGATTACAGGTGTGGGCTCTGTGCCTGGGCTGGACCAGGCACTATTTATATTCCCCCAAGTTTGAGATCCCCACCTCACAGATGAGGAAACTGAGGCTCAGATAGGTAAAGTTACTCAGGGGAGCAGTGGGACTGAGATACAGGTCTCTGGGCTAGTCCAAGTGTCTCTGCAAGAGCATTTCAGGGTCCTAGAGAGGTCCCATACCCAAGAACTTGCTCATGTCTTGCTGGTTTCTCCCAGCAGGTCCGGAGTCAGTGGATTGTGGCTTGGCCCCTGTGAGCCCCATTGGTGGTGGGATCATCCGGAGAGGCTTCTCAGGGACCCCCTTGCTGCCACCGCTGCTGAGCCACCTTGGACCCCCTGGAGAGGTCGAGCCCAGTGCCCATGTGGTGTTCACCATTGAGGCTCAAGGGACAGAGAAAAGACACAGCGTGGTCCTGGGCAGGTGAGGAGGCTGATGGGGATTAAAGGGGCCGGCTTCAGGAGAGGAAGACCGGTTCATCCATCTGAACCCTTCTTAACCTTATCCAGAAAGAATTTACTAAGTAAGCACCCACTGTGTGCCAGGCCCTGTACTGGGCACACACTGGGCACACAGCCACGCACAAGGAGGAGCCCACAGGCTGATGGGAGGGACAGATTATATCAGGCAGAGACAGGACAAAGTAATCATGCTGTGATGCAGACAGAGAGAGGAGCCCAGAGGAGGCTCCTGACCCCACATGGAGGGGGCTCAGGGAGGACTACCTGGAAGAAGTGGCATTTAAACTTAGCCTGAGGGACTGGGTGTGGTAGTTTATGCATGTAATTTCAGCACTTTGGGAGGCCGAGGTGGGGGAATCACTTGAGGTGAGGAGTTTGAGACCAGCCTGACCAACATGGTGAAACCCTGTCTCTCTAAAAATCCACACACACACACACACACACACACACACACACACACACACACAGCCAGGCATGGTGGAGCACACCTTTAATCCCAGCTGTTCAGGAGGCTGAGACAGGATAATTGTTAAACCTGGGAGGTACAGGTTGCAGTGAGCCAATATCCTGCTACTGCACTCCAGCCTGAGCAACAGAGCAAGACTCTGTCAAAAAAAAAAAAAAAAAAGGCTGGGTGTGGTGGCTATGCCTATCATCCTAGGACTTTGGGAGGACGAGGCCAGTCAATCACTTGAGGTCGGGAGTGCAAGACCAGCCTGGCCAACATGGTGAAACCCATCTCTACCGAAAATACAAAAATTAGCCAGGCGTTATGGCATGTGCCTGTAGTCCCAGGTATCAGGTGTAGAATCGCTTGAACCCAGGAGGTGGAGTACACCAGTGCACTCTAGCCTAGGTGACAGAGCAAGACACCATCTCAAAAAAATAAAAAGAAACAAACAAAAAACACAAAAGAAACAAAAACAGATAAATGAAACCTTAGCCTGAGGGTTAAAGAGAAGTCAACCAGTGGGAGTGCAGGGAAGGGCAGTCCAAGCAGAAGGAATAGAAAGTGCAAAGCCTCAGACTCAAGAGGTTAAGGTGTGTAAGGAGCTGAAAACAGACCAGTGTGGCTTGAGGGTGGGAGGGGAGCCCCAGGAAGTGGGCAGGGGCTGAAACCACACACAAGACCTCATGAGGTGCTCTGGAGAGCCAGAAGTGTGTTTTCTAGAGAGAGACTTTATCAGTATTGGCATTTAAAAAATTCCCTGTGGCTTGCTGTTGGGGAGAATTGGCTGTCAGGGACATGAGTGAAAGAAGACGAGGAAGACGTGGGCATTTCTGGCCACAGGAGATACTGGTTCTTGGACAAGGGTGGGAGCCATGGGCTGGAGAGCAGTGAGGAAATTTGGATGACATTTACAAAGTAGACCTACTGCCAGGGCCAGGCGCGGTGGCTCATGCCTATAATCCTAGCACTTTTGGAGGCTGAGGCAGGTGAATCACCTGAGGTCAGGAGTTTGAGACCAGCCTGGACCACATGGTGAAACCCCATCTCTACTAAAAATACAAAAATTGGCTGGCATGGTGGCTCATGCTGGAAATCCCAGCACTTTGGGAGGCTGAGTTGGGTGGATCACGAGGTCAGGAGTTCAAGACCAGCCTGGCCAATATGGTGAAGCCCCATCTCTACTAAAAAAAAAATACAAACAAAATTAGCCGGGCATGGTGCTGGTGCCTGTAATCCCAGGTACTCAGGAGGCTGAGGGAGAGAATTGCTTGAACCCGGCAGGCTAAAGTTGCAGTGAACCGAGATTGTGCCACTGCACTCCAGCCTAGGTGACAGAGCAAAACTCTGTCTTAAAAAAACACTGGGGGCCGGGCGTGGTGGCTCACGCTTGTAATCCAAGCACTTTGGAGGCCAAAGCGGGTGGATCACCTGAGGTCGGGAGTTCAAGACCAGCCCAACCAACATGGTGAAACCCCGTCTTTAAAAACAAAAACAAAAACAAAAACTGGGTGTGGTGGTGGGTGTGAGTAATCCCAGCCACTCAGAAGACTGAGGCAGGAAAATCACTTGAACCCAGGAGGTAGAGGTTGCAGTGACCAGAGATCGCGCCACTGCACTCCAGCCTGGGTGTCACAGTGAGAATTTGTCTCAAAAAAAAAAAAAAAAAGAAAGTAGGCATGCCAGTTGTTGGTGGATGCTACAGGAGCTGCGGAGAGTGGGGACTTGTGTGTACAGCTCCTGGTCTCAGACCCTTTACATTTAACAAGTCCTCACAATGACGCCAAGAGTTGGAGACACCATTATTTATCCCCATTTTCTAGAATATTAAAAAGCTTTGGGCCAGGCGCGGTGGCTCACACCTGTAATCCTAGCACTTTGGGAGGCTGAGGTGGGCAGATCACAAGGTCAGGAGTTTGAGACCAGCCTGACCAACATGATGAAACACCATCTCCACTAAAAATACAAAAATTAGTTGGGCGTGGTGGCACGTGCCTGTAATCCTAGCTACTCGGGAGGCTGAGACAGGAGAATCCCTTGAACTGGGAGGTGGAGGTTGCAGTGAGCCGAGATTGCACCACTGCGTTCCAGCCTGAGCAACAGAGTGGGAGTTCATGTCAAAAAAAAAAAAACAAAACAAAAAAGCTTTGGGAGGGGAAGTGACAGAGCCAGCTAGTGACCATGTTCCTCACCACTGGGCAGAGTTGTCTCCCACAGTCAGTTATTGGGGGTGGTGGGGGAGTGGAGAACAGGGACCAAACCACCCAAGCATAGAACAGAGAGGGAGTCATTTGTCATGCAGCACGCAGCAAGGCATGATGGTACTGGAGCTTGAACTCAGTATGTCTGACTTCCCAGATCAAAGATTTTCCTTTTCTCCAACCTGGTGACATGGCTGGGGTCACTGGGAGGCAGCCTCCATGGGAAATACCCTGTTGAACGTTTCTGAGACCTCCAAAAAGATCGGGGCTCTTCCCAAATATGCTGCAGCAATTGGCACCCTAATGGTCCCAAATGCCTCCCTGCCCCAGCCCAGAAGGCCTCTACCAAGTCGTGACCCTGGGAGTACAAAATCCCGCCTCCTCCTGCTCCACACGCACCCGCCCAGCCCTGCTGCTGTTCATGCTTACTTCAGTTAACCACGGTGGAAAATGTTTCCACCCCTCCTTGCCACTTCCCAGGAAATTACCCCTGAGACTAAGAAGCCTGGTGGGTGGGGACTTGAGTTTCCAGAACTGGCAGGGAGGGGCAGGCCTGGGGTTTTATGACAGGAATCGTGGCTGCGAGGTGGGGCCTGGGACTTTCTCAGGACGAATGAGATCCTGCCATTTTCGCTGAGGGTCTGAGTGTTGGTGTGGCTTTAAAAGCGCGAGAGTCTCAGAGATACTCCTCCTGCCTGTCCTGAGCTTCCATGAAAGGTGGGTTTTCTGCCAGTCCTCCCCCAACTCAGCTGCAGCGTGGCTTTGCGGTGGGGAGGGTCTTAGAAGCAGAACTAGGTTGTTTCTTAGAGAGACCTGACTTCTCCTCTTTGCCCATCTCTACTGGTGGCTGTTTTGGAGCTCTGGCCAGAGGTAGCCTCTGTGTGCTCCTCCTAGACATGGGAGGCCCCGTCACAGCCTTGCCAATTTCCCTGTCCTTCTCAGCTCCCTGCCTGGCATGGGTGGGCGTTGCATTTTAGGACTCCAAAGAGACCCCTTCTGGGGCTGAACCGCAGAGCCTACCTTCTGGGCTTGGCAGAAAGACCGCTATCTGTACGTACCTCCGAAGATCAGAGCCTTGATTCTGCTTCCAAACTTCTTGTTGCCACTGTTGCTGGAGAAGGTTGAGGACCCGTCACTGCTCAGGTTTTAGCATCTCCTGGGCAGATGATGCCCTGGTCTGGGGGTGCTCGCAGACCCGTCTCCCTCCCCTGCCTTCAGCACCATCCAGTCTCGGACAGCTCCTCGTCGTCTCCCGCTCGGAGCTCCTAAATCTACCTTTTTCTCTTTCAACACGCGGTGAGGAGGGAGGGACAGCGTCTCGGCCCTGGGGGTCTCCAGAAACCCTGTCTCCCTGCCCTCCATTTAGCCGCAATCATGGACAATTTCTGTCTTCTCCACGCCAAGTCCTTGTTTCGGTTCTTTTCCATGCAGCGCTAGCAGGGACGGCAGACTGTTCTCGGGGCTGGGCGGGAGTCTCTCCAGCCCCTAGCTTCAACACCCCTCGCCACGTTCTTCTCCCCTGTTCTGCCCTTCAGCACCATCAGGGAATCGACAGCTCCTCGGTGTCGGCCCCACCTTGAGCCCCGGGTTCCACCTTCCCCGATTCAGCACCTCCGGCGCGGACAGCTCCTCGCTGTCGCCTGCACTCCCGGCCCCGGGCCCGGGCGCAGACGCTCCTCGGCGTCCGCTCAAGGGGACGACTCCTGCTCCCCGCTATCCCAGACCCTTTCTCTGGCGCATGGAGACCCTGGGGGTCGGCGAAGGGGCAGAGGCGTGCAGCAGGTTGAGTCGCCCTCGCGGCCGCCACGGCACGGCCAGAGCCCCGAAGCACCTGTGGCGGCAACCCCGGCGCCCCATCCGCATCCAACAGCGCTTCCTTTCGGACCCGGAGAAGTCCGCGGGCTGCCGCGAGCAGGACCTGAGCCCGCGCCCCGGCCTCAGGAAGTCGAGGCTGTCCTGGCCCATTTCCTCCAGCAGGCGGTAGGTGGCCGGGGCAGGGCCCTCCTGCAGCGCGGGGGAGGGGCGCGCGGGGCCTGGCGGGAGTGGGGGAGGGTCTCTGCTGCTTGGCTGAGGCTGGCGCTTGGAAGGAAAAAGCTATTTCTACGTAGGGGTGGAGCTGAAGGTGCTGGTGTCATCATGGCTTGTGGGTCTGTGTGACCGGGTGTGCCCACGTGCGGTTGGAACCGAAAGTGTGTGGTGTGTGCGCGCGCGCGCATGAGACTGGAGTGACCAGATGTGTTTGGGGGGTTCCTGTGCGTTCATGCTTGGGCATGAGTCCATGTGTCCCCAGGCAGTTGTGGGTGTACTGGTGTGTCTCCCCTTGTGGTGCCTGTAGGTGTGTGGCTAAGTGTAACTGTCCCTGTGCTAACACAGCTGGGGGTCCGAAGGTTTTCTGAACTGAGGAATGTCCGCAGGGCTGTGGGGGAGGTTTGTAGCCACCTCAAGCATCTGAGGTAACCCTGGGGTGCTTGGATATAAATACACACACACACACACACACACACACACACACGTTTTTATTTTTGAGAGATTCTCACTTTGTCACCCAGGTAGAAGTGTACTGAGTGTCTTGATCACTGCTCACTGCAACCTCTGCCTCCCGGGCTCAAGCAATCCTCCCACCTCAGTCTCTTGAGTAGCTGGGATTGCAGGGGCATGTCACCACCTCCAGCTAATTTTTGTATTTTTGCTAGAGGTGGGGTTTCGCCATGTTGGCTGGTCTCGAACTCTTGGCCTCAAACGATCCTCCTGCCTTAGTCTCAAAGTACTAGGATTACATGTATGAGCCCCTGCATCCAGCCTATTTAATATATTATAGATATAAAAGGGCCAGGGCAGGCTGCCACCAGTGTTGGGGGAAGAAGCCTCCTCTTACTCCCTCCCCCACCTTCACTCCCTCATCCTACTCTGCTCCCCTGTAGCAGGAAGGAAAGTCCCTTGGGAAGCTTGTGCACAGGAGGTTTCTTTCACTTAAGTAAGGAGGGGCTGTTCCTTCTGTTTCGTGTAAGCTGAGTGGGGTTGGGTTCGAACAGAGACAGAGGAGACTCATAGAAAGGTAAAGTAGAATTCCCAGGAGGCCCGACCTGAGGGTCTCCAGCTACCGGGTGGAGGCTTCAGGGCCAGGGAGGAGGGTCCAGGAACTCCAAGCCCTCCTTAGGTTGGAGGGGAGCCAAGTCAGCGGGACCAGCGTCCCAGGTTTCAGTCCAGTCCAGGGTGTCCTCGGATGAGTTGCTTCCCTGCTCTGGAGCTTGGCTTTATCGAGTCCTAGTTCATGGTCCACCCCCAATGCCGGCCGCCCAGGGGCCACTACCTTCTGACTCCATCAGCAAGCCTGGCCTCTCACCCCCAGCCTGGCCCTCCAGCAACCTGGGAAGCATTTGGTGTAGTCCGGAGGGGTTGGGGCTGTTCTCAGGTGACCCAGGAGCCCCTTCCCCCTCCCTGGCTTCTAGCTCTGCCTGCCCTCTCCCTGCTGGTGACTCATAACTTTCCATTTTCAAGAAAGAACAAACAGAGCCTTGGTGTGAGCTTGTCTAGGGGAAGCCCCCGCTTTGTTCTGGGAGGCAGGAGCAGTGGATTGGGTGTCCCTCTGCACGGCTGTGTGTGCACACACCTGTTGTGCTGTACCTAACTCATATGCACTGCAGTCATACATATGTGGATGTGTATGCAATGGCCCACTGTACTTGTTTATGCTGATGTGGGAGGGAGGGGTTCACCCCGGTGGAGGGGGAAGCCCAGGGAAACTGAGTTCAAGGCCAGGCCCCAAAGCCAACCTGCTGGGTGTTATTGAGCAAGGGGTGGTGCCTCCCGGAGCCTCAGCATCTTCATCAGTGAGATGAACATTCTGTGCCTAAGCCTGGAACACACAGGGTTCCCAGCTTGTGGCTCTTTTCCCGGCCGTAAAAACTGTTGGGGCTGTGTTTCTCCACAGCCCTAGATGGATCACAGGGGTCTGGGAGGGTCCAAGCATTTTTCTTTTTTGAGACGAAGTTTCACTCTGTTGCCCAGGCTGAAGTGCAATGGCACGATCTCAGCTCACTGCACCCTCTGCCTCCTGGGTTCAAGCGATCCTCCTGCTTCAGTCTCCCAAGTTGCTGGGATTACAGGTGCCTGCCATGCCCAGCTATTTTTTTTTTATTTTTTATTTTTAGTAGAGATGGGGTTTCACCATGTTGACCAGGCTGGACTTGAACTCCTGACCTCAGGTGATCCACCCGCCTCAGCCTCCCAGAGTGATGGGATTACAGATGTGAGCCACCGTGCCTGGCTAGCATTTTGTTGAGAAGGCATTTAAACACCTACTGGGTGGTAGGCTCTGTGTTGGGAACACAACCCTGGATCAAGAAGCTGTGTCCCCCCAGCCTGATGGTGGAGACAGACTCATCCCAGGTGGAGAAGGCACAGGGTGATGGGGAAAGATCAGGGAACAAACCCAGAGGAGTCTCCCGACCCAGCAGAGGATGGGAGTCAGGGAGGACTGCTTGGAAGAAGTGACATCTAAACTTAGCTTGCAGAAGGAAAGAGGTCAGCCAGGGTGAGTAAAGAGAAGGGTATTCTAGGTAGAAGGAACAGAATGTGCAAAGCCTCAGACTCAAGAGGATCAGGCATGCGAGGAGCTGAAAACAGATCAGTGTGGCTGGAGGATGGGAGGAGAGGCTCTCTGTTTATGCTACAAGCACCTATTTATTTATTTATTTATTTTTGTTTTTTGTTTTTTTCTTTTTTGAGACGGAGTTTCGCTGTTGTTACCCAGACTGGAGTGCAATGGCACGATCTCGGCTCACCACAACCTCCGCCTCCTGGGTTCAAGCAATTCTCCTGCGTCATTCTCCTGAGTAGCTGGGACTACAGGCGTGCACCACCATGCCCAGCTAATTTTTGTATTTTTAGTAGAGACGGGGTTTCACCTTGTTGACCAGGATGGTCTTGATCTCTTGACCTCGTGATCCACCCGCCTCAGCCTCCCAAAGTGCTGGGATTACAGATGTGAGCCACTGCGCCCAGCCTATTTATTATTCTTTTTAGACAGAGTCTCTCACTCTGGGCTGGGGTGCAGTGGCATAATCTCAGTTCACTGCAACCTCCACCTCCCGGGTTCAAGCGGTTTCTCCTGCCTCAGCTTCCCCAGTAGCTGGGATTACAGGTGACCACCACCACACCTGGCTAATATTTGTATTTTTAGTAGAGATGGGGTTTTGCTATGTTGCCCAGGCTGGTCTCAAACTCTTGACCTCAAGTGATTCACACACCTTGGCCTCCCAGAGTGCTGGGATGACAGGGATGAGCCGCCACATCCAGCCGCTACAACCATTAACTGAGCATCTACTAAGTGCAAGTTCTGAGGAACAGCAGGGAATGAGGCAGATCTGGCCTTGATCTTGAGGGACTCATGACAATAAATGTGAAGTTGTACCCATGACTGGAGGGTTCTCTGAGGCATTTACCTGGCTAGTCAGGGAGGGCCTCTTGGAGGAGGTGACTCTGACTGCAACCCAAAAGATGTAGCATCAGAAGGGGACAGGGATTCTGGCAAGGGCCATGGGGTGGGAATAAGCCTGGCTGCTTCAGAGAACAGCCAAGGAGTGGGGAGAGGCTGGAACAGAGGAAGCCAAGAGAAGTGAGGCAGGGATGGGCCACATGAGGCCTCTAAGGAGGTGTGAATTCAGATCTGAGGGCAATGGGGGGCTATGGGAGGGGCTGGAGCAAAGGAGTGTGTGATTTGACCTATGCGAGCATCTACACATGACTCGGCCCCCACCCTCCTCATTCTGCTCGACCCCTCCATGGAGACTTGAGCAAGTCATCTCCCTCTCCACGTTTCAGTTTACTCATCTATAAAATGGGCAAAACAACCCCACAAAAACACCCAGTTAAAAAAAAAAAAAAAATCTCTCTGGGGCCACCTGGTGGCAGTGGGGAAAAGTGTCTGCCCAGAGAAGGGACATTCAAAAGGCACCTTTGGCTCACACCTTTTTTTTTCTTTTTTAAGACAGTGTCGCTCTGTCGCCCAGGCTGGAGTGCAGTGGCATGATCTTGGCTCACCGCAACCTCCACCTCTTGAGTTCAAGCAATTCTCCTGCCTCAGCCTCCTGAGTAGCTGGGACTACGGGCGTGTGCCAGGCACCAAGCTAATTTTTGTATTTTTAGTAAAGATGGGGTTTCATCATGTTGACCAGGCTGGTCTCAAATTCCTGACCTCATGATCTGCCCACCTCAGCCTCCCAAAGTTGGGAGGTCAGGAATTCGAGACCCGCCCGGCCAACATGGTGAAACCCCATCTCTACTGAAAATACAAAAATTAGCCGTGCCTGGTGTCACCCACCTGTAGTCCCAGCTATTCAGGAGGTTGAGGCAGGAGCAGGAAAATTGCTTGAACCTGGGAGGCAGAGGTTGCAGTGAGCCAAGATCTCGGCATTACATTCCAGCCTGGGTGACAGAGTGAAACTGTCTCAAAAAAATAAGGCCTGGCACTGTGGCTCACGCCTGTAATCCCAGCACTTTGGGAGGCGGAGGCAGGTGGATCACCTGAAGTCAGAAGTTTAAGACCAGCCAGACCAACATGGTGAAACCCCCATCTCTACTAACTACAAAAAAAAAAAAATTAGTTGGGAGTGGTGGCATGTCACTGTAATCCCAGTTAGTTGGGAGGCAGAGGCAGGAGAATCGCTTGAGTCTGGGAGGTGGAGGTTGCAGTGAGCCAAGATTGCACCATTGCACTCCAGCCTGGGCAACAGGAGTGAAACTCCATCTCAAAAAATATATATACAATAAACTACAATTAAAAATAAAAATAAAGGCACCTGAGACTACTGGGCAGCTCTCCCGGTCATGCAGTAATGCAGGGATGGGGTCAGAAAGAGGTTTCTCTCCAAACCTCTTTCAGCTTTTGTCCCTTTCCCAGTGGGGCTTGGAGGGCCTCCCAGGATCAAGCAGGGGCCAGGTTTCTCCATCCCAACAGCTATTAGTTAACACCTTCCTGT